TTCCACGCCATTCTATTAAATTCACTCAATATTTTACAAATAATGTGTTAAATTTATAGGGTTTTGATTCGTTATCGTATTTTTTATCATCACATGTATTCAATTTGATTTTATTTATTCAATTCGAGCTTGATTTTTGAGAAAAAAAGACTGATGTATGTGAAGAAAACATGGACTGCTGTTTTTTGTTTTTTCCGCCATTCTATCAATTTTACTCAATATTTTGCAAAGAATGTATTAAATTTATATTTGAATCCTTATGGTCTTGTTTATCATCACATGTATTCAATTTGATCTGATTTATTCAATTTGAGCTTGAGTTTTGTGATTGAATGACTGATGTCCGTGAAGAACTGCATTTTTTTTTTCCCCTCAATTCAATAGATTTTATTTAATTTTTTAATAATAATGTCTTAATATTATAGGGCTTTGATTCCTTATAGTGTTGTTTATCAAAACATGTATTCAATTTGATGTAATTTATTCGATTTGAGGTGGATTTTTCAGCTGGAATGACTGATGTTAAGTGGGTCTGTGAAGAACTGCCTTTTTTTTTTTCTTTATAATTTATGATCAATTTTTTTGAAAAATCGTGATTTTCCAAAAAATTGTGAAAATCGTGACTAGGTTTTGATTATCATGAGGAATTAAACAATATTTTTAATTTTTATTGTTAAATTTTTAGTTCAAAAAATTACATGTTGATAGATTATTTATACAAAAAAATAAATGTTATTATATTTTTAATGCAAAACTGTATTTTTTAATTTGTTGTTAATATAAAAAATACATTAACAAATACATGCTATTAAATTGTATTATATTTTTAATGCAGTTTTGCATTAAAAATGTATTTTTAATTTTTTAAATTTTAATGCAAAAAATACATGTTGTTAAACTGTATTATCATGAGGAATTAATGTGAATATCATTGTAAAAAAATCGTGGCATGTATGATAATTATATTATCTAGCATTTTTCAATTTTATTATTAAATTTTTAATGCAAAAAATGTATGTTCTTGGTAATTGAGTTGTAGCCATGTTTGGAGCTTGCATTTTTTATTATATTATCTTGCATTTTTGTAATTGAGATGTATGACTATTTGTAATCATTTCAATTGAGTTGGGATTGTGCCCACTATATCATTGTAAATTTTATTTGTGGTATTGTGAATGACTATATCATTGTAAATGGTTTTTGTGTCAAATATATGTGTAGTGGCATTATGGATGATTATATTATTGCAATTTTTTTCTTGATTCTAAGTGTGACTTATACAGACTTTTTTTTATCTATAATGTTGCATAAATATATTTTTTTTCTCAGTAGGAACTAATTCATGTTTGTCGAAATGAAGATTTGTGACAAGTCCATATGTATAGGCATTGTGAATTACTATACCATTGTAAATATATTTTTTATTCCTACCATGTCAACGTAAATTTTTTGTTCTATATGTAGTGGCTGATATAGGCTATTTTTCTCTATAATGTTGTATAAATAAATTATTTTTCCCAGTAAGAACTAAAATATTTTTGTCAATAGAAATATTTTGCATTAACAACAAATATAACTTCAGGAACTACCCCTACATCTACACATGGTGATTATTTTTCATGTTGAACTGTTAGGTTAATTTTTAACCATTTACATATTAAAACAGTTGAATCATGGCAAGATCTGCTGAAGACCCTGCATGGCAATACGGGGTCAGACTTAATCCCAACAAAAAAGACAAAATTATTTGTAATTACTGCCAAAGAGTGATAAGTAATGGGGTACATAGGTTCAAGCAACACTTGGCATGGGTTAAGGAAGATGTTTCTGCGTGCATTAGTATCCTAATAATGTAAAAAAGCAGATGGCAGCATTTCTCAAAGCTACCAAAGGTAAAAAATTGTAAAACAGATGATGGATGAGAAGATAGCTAGTTTATATACGTCATCAAGTGGGAATGATCTAGAAGAGCAATATAAAAATGACTTGGAGATGGCCACAAGAATGAGTTTACAGGAAACATACCAGAGGAAACGCAGGTTTAGAATGCCTAGTGGTTATGACATGGGCTTGCATGGTGGGCCTAGCTCGGACATGCATGGCGGGCCCAGCTCGAGCATGTATGGCTGGTCCAGCTCAAATATGTATGGAGGGGTTGGTGGTAATATTTATCCAGAGAAATCAGACGTTGAAAAAATTGTTTTTAGCTTATCTAAGAGTGCTAATATTACAGGTCATGGTCGTATAGACCCATTTCTCTCAAAGCCTAAATCAAAACAGATGACCTTCATAGACATGGTGAAAGGTACGAGAAACATGTTGGGCAGATATGTTGATAAATGGTTCTACGATAAAGGGATCCCCTTTGATGCAACTAATAGCCCATATTTTCCACCTATGGTCCACGCAATCCAGAGAGCCGGGCCCTGGGTAAAACCCCTGACGGCATATGAGTTCAGTGGGCCAATATTAGATGAAGAGGTGGAGGAAATTAGAAAGTGGATTGAAGAATATAAATAGAGTTGGCCAAGAGCAGGCATTACTCTCATGAGTGATGGTTAGTTGAATAAAGTTAGCAAAAAAGAGTTTTTAAATTTCTTGGCCTATTCCCTAAAAGGTACAGCTTTTTTGTCTAGCATAGACATATCAGGGACAAAGAAGGATGCAAACTTCTACGTACGACTATATGATTAGATAGTGGAGGAGGTGGGAGATAAGCATGTAGTCCAGTTTATTACGGACAATGCGCGTGCATATGTTTCTGCGGGAAACAAGTTGATGGATAAGAGGAAACATCTAGTATGGACCCCGTGTGCTGTACACAGCATCGATCTTATTTTAAAAGAGAACGGTAAGATCAAAATTGTGAAGGAGACTCTATAGGAAGCGAGGTTGGTGTCAAGATTTATATATAACTATTCTACAATTTTATTTTTGTTCAGAGAACAGTCTAAGAAAAAAAAGATAATCAGGCCTGCCATAACCCGCTTTGCGACAAATTAATTAACTATGGACGCCATTCGAGAATCTACAAGTGGACGGTATATTCTCATGCTGACAAGAAAGCTACCATGAGCATCCTTTATGAAGGTATCGAGAGGGCCAAATCAGCTATTGGGGAGAAACGTAGTTTTACTAGTAAAGTGATCGAGATTATAGAAAAAAGGTGGAACACCAAATTTGGACGTCCAATTCATTATGCAGGTAAACATATATTTATATCATTAGAATGTTTCATTATAAATTACTTTTTTATGAAATTTTAAATGACATTTCTCTATCTATGTATTTTCTAGGTTACTACTTTAACCCAAAATTTTTCTATTTGACACCTGAACATCCCCACAAGATTATGGAAGGGGTCAGATACATTATTACCGGGTTGGAGAGAAGTCATTGAAACCAGGTAGCAGCAATGCAAGAGGTATTATTTAATATTTGCGTAAGAACTTGATTAAGTTGTTATAGTTGTGAGGAATAATGCACTAAAATGAAATATTTTGTTTTAGCTTGCTATATATAGGGATGCTATAGGATCTTTCGGAACTAGACTTGCCAAGAATTCTTGAACTAAGATGGATCCGGGTTATCCCCTAACTAATATTTTGTTCATTCATATATTTAATCTTATGAATTGTTTTTGCCCTTACAATGCTTTTTGCATTTTAATCCAGTTGAATGGTGGGAGATATATGGTAGTGATGCACCTCACCTAAAGAGGATAGCAATCAAGGTGCTTTCACAGACATGTTTTACTACTGGCTGTAAGCGAAACTGGAGTACGTTCCAATGGATGCACACTACTAGGAGGAATCGTTCCAATGGTTGCACACTACTAGGAGGAATCGACTCGCTTCAAAGAAATGAGTAAACTAGTCTATATTTATTACAACTTAAACCTCTGAGAACGACAAATAAGAAGGAAGCTTGAAGGCTACCGATAGACTTGGGCATAGTTATTGTCACAGACACAACAGAATAATGGGTAGTAGAAGAAGAGGAGCCAAGGTTGCATAAGAGAGCGTTCCTTGAGGCTATCGGTGAGGAAGATCTAGAAGAAGGTGATGAGCAACATGAAAAAGGAAGCAACTCGCCAACATATCCATAATTCGTCGGAAAACATATCTACAATTATTCGGAGATGTCGGTGATGTTGCACCTAATGAGGGAGAGTGGGAATGGGGTCTAAGGGAAAATGAGAAAGACGATGATTCTGAGGCCACCCAATCCCAACCAAATTATTCACATATTAAGTCCCAACAACATGATGGTAGGGATAAGCATGATAGTGTAGGTGAGCATGAAGGATGGATAAGCTTCGGGGATTTGGATTAGGACCACAACAAAACACTAACACTCTGGTATTAGGGTATAGTCAGGTGCCCACTAATTTGGATGATTCATTTTTAGAACGAGTCAATGAATTGTCATGCGAGTTCAATCAATGGCACTAGCGTGACCAAGATGAAAAACGACGTCGTCTATCATTTCATTTTTAGATCGTATGTTACGAATTGTATGTTTTATTGTAGTCTATGTATGATGCTATACTTATTCCATGATAATTCTATGTTCATCCTTTTCTGTGATGTAAAATTAAATGGTAAATAGTAGTTCATGTAGGAAAAGAACATATCAATATTTACATATTCATGCAAAGAAATGAAAATTCTTAATGGAGTACCCTCATTTCTCATTGAATTCCTAAAAAACAATATTTATAATGAATTTTAATAAATTTTTCAGATTTTTTTTAAAGTTTAATCCGACCGATTTAGTCGATTCCCGATCCGGATCGCCGATTCACCGATCCGAATGGATTTTTGAGATGCCCGATCCAAATCACCGATCCGCTTTATAAAGCGTTGATTCGAACTATTAGAAAGAACAAAAAAAAACCCATGCAAATGCTTGTAAAAAGAAAAGCCCGAATCTTCATCAGAATTATTAAAAAGAAAAGAGACCAAAATCCAAGGATTTACTATGAAGTATGCCATAAATATAATAAAACTCTTTATCACATTTATCATCCCTTTCGACATGTATCCATCAAAGACCCATTTTATCAAGAAAGAGAGAGAGAGAAATAGTCCAATTTAGAGCAATAGAGGGAATAATTTAGTATCAATTTAGGGCAAGAGAGAGAAAGACTCCAATTTAGAGCAAGAGAGAGAATAATTTAGGGAATGGGAGTTATTTAGTGGTCTATTTCTTGCTGAGAAGCTTCTCTCTGAGCTCGGCGACATCCATGGCTCCAAAATGATTCTCAGGAATCCAATTTCCAGTGACTGGATCCCTCATCCAAAATATCTGCTCACTCCTTTCTCCTCCTCCTTTACTTTCCGGCAAAATTTTTGTCGCGGTGGACTCAGGTGTCTTATTGAGATTTGTTGCTGCCCCGACAATGCTTGCCTTTGCTTCTACTGCTGCAACTGTGTACCTCCTCTGCCTGAACAAGAGAGAGAAACAAGAGTATTAAGAGAGCAAAATAAATAACATAAAAAAAATAAAGACTAACAGAGAGAAAGTTAAATAAAATATAATCATATCATACCAGAAAAGCGCAAAATAAATATGACCAAATGATAAACAAGCCATTAGAGAAAAAAGAAAAAAAAATACAAAATATTTAAAAAACAAGAGTATCTCTTATCAAAATTAACTCTTTAGATTTTGAACCTGATGGTTTAGTCTGGATTAGATGCTTATATAGCTAGAAAAAGTAAAAAGGTGATGGTTTAGGATCGATTAGATGTTAATATTACCAGATCAAGTAAAAATGGAGGCATGTTAGTGATATTGGAGAAAGCAACAATGGCGGAAAATAATAGAGAAAAAACAGAGTAGACAGGGCTTGCATGATCGGTGAAAGAAGCAACAAGAGATAATAGAGAAAGATGAGAGGAAAAAGAAAGAAGAAATAGAGGTGAATAGGATGCCTAGAAATCAAGGAATCAATGAAAAAGAATCAGAAATAAATTGACTAAATTCAGGAAACAGGAAAAAACAGAGGAAATATGCAGTAAAGAAGGAAGAGGAAGAAACAGGAGATGATGCATCAGAAAAGGAAAGAAAAAGAGGATAGGTGGAGATAGTTACCCCATCTGAAAAAGCCGTTTTACACAAAAATTAGTCGCCATTGTTGAGATAGAGAGAAAAAGATTGGATCACAGAATGCTCTCTCTTCTTCTTCTTCTTCTTCTAGATGAGACCTTCAACAGCAAGAAAACCAGTCTCTCTCTCTCTCTAATAAAAATTGAAACGAATTCAAGAATACATTCCCCATCACCTCACACTATTTATACAAGAAAAGAGACTCACGAGTTTAATACCACTCTCTCTCTAAAGTCTGAACCAAGCGTGATTCTCTCTCCTCTTTCCTCTCCCTCTAAGTTCGATACTCATTGGGAAAGCGAAAAGCCCTAATTTATAAGCGGAGAGCGGCCGCTTCAATCTGAGGAAGCCTTCTTCGAACAGGTTTCCGAAAAGAAGAAATAAAAAAAAAGGAAATCAGTATTAAATAATAATAAAATTAAATAAAGGTTCCTTTTACTATTTGCATGGCAGCCGGTTTTTTTAAAAAAATTTAAAAAAGGGAATAAAAACAGAAATTAAATTTTGTATATCAAATATAGAGAAAGTTTCCAAAATTGACTCAACGGCCAAATCATTTGACCTTGGACCAGTAAAGAGAGGGAATGTTTCTCTTCAAACTCACTAACTGTCGAAAATACCCCTGAGTCAGGCGAGTGATAGCAATGAAAAAGAGAGCTGTTTGTTGTATATTTTGGTCATTAGATACAAAGACAGGGAACATTTGGGAATGGAAATGATATATTAGAGAGGGGGACTATAATTATATGCCCATTGCGTGCATAGCGACCATCCACTGAGTCCATCGTCCATTCTCACAGATGAACGGCTCAGACGAGCTGAGAGGTATGCATACCCGGCATATATATGAAAGTGTATTTTATAGTTGCGCCGAGAAAACCAATTTTACTTACCTTTTTTTTTATGAGAAAAGCAATTTAGAGTATGAATCTAATGGATCAAAGGAAAGAACAAACTCCCCTTGTTTTTTTTTTTTTTAAATCGTATTTTATCCATTCACAAATCTCAGCTCTTCCAACTCATGCTCATACGTGTTTTAAAGCGATTTTTCAGTTTGAATCCAAAACATTTGGCACAATATTGAATATTCCATCCTTTAAGTGTGTATTGATAAGCAAAATGATTTCCTACTCTCTCAGGAGTATACTATCCATCTACACAAAACTGACGCTAGGAATATCTTTTTTATCCCAAATTTTGGAGATGCGATCTCTAAAACCCTACAACCAACCTCAAATATAAAAAATAATTAACTCTCACTCTCTATGTACCTAAAAAAAACGACTATCCAATTTTTGGAGGGAATGATCTAAACCTTTAAATATTATAAAATTAAAATCCTATATATAT